ACACACACACACACACACACACATACATACATACACACATACCCATGCACATACACAAATACACAGTGCTCATATACACAAACACACAGTACTCATAGATTAGACTCAACAGCTTCCTAGACGAAATCTCATCAAAAGACGATTTGAGGATTTTCAAAGATTCAAAAGGGAAACAAACGTTATTTTTAAAACCCGTTTTATGTATGGCCTTGTGTCCTGCTCTTGACCATAGGAAAGAGGTCACAGGCGAAAAACGTACTGTGTCACTTGAACTGCCTGAGGTTTCGTTGTTGGTTGTTTGTTGTTTAAATGTTATGACTTTTATTGACGGGAGGGCGTTTTGTTTTTATTTTTTGCTGTTATTGTTGTTTGTCTGCTTGTTGTTGTTTGTTTTTGGTTGTTGTTTTTTTGTTCTTTTTTGTTCTTGGTTTTTCTTTTATAGGGGTGGTGGTTGGGCAGTGGGGTGATAAAAAGGGAGGGTGGGGGAGGGGGGGGGAGGAGGAGTCATTTATTTCTATATCTCCACGCTGCAATAATTATTGCCAGCGATGCATGTCACTCTTCCAAGCACGGCGTCAGACATGTTTATAATTTGAAAAGGATTCTCGACAGTGTGATCTTTTGTATTTGTTTGTAAACAGTCGCAGCTTGTGTTAGTGTGTTATGAGTTTGCGTCCTTGTGAGTTTGTGCGTATACGTGTGTTGTGTGTGTGTGTGTGCGTGCGAGTGTGTGTGCGTGCGTGCGTGCGTGCGTGTGTGTGTGTGTGTGTGTGTGTTTGCGTGCACAGGAATGTATTTGTATGTGCGTCTGTATGTCTGTATGTCTGTCTGCCTGTATGTCTGTACCCTGGACCGAGAAAGTTGAGAGAGGAAGAATGGAAAGAAAGTTTACTATAAGTATTTACAATCTGGTCGCAGCTATTTTTCTCTTTTCAGGACTTTAACATGAACGTTCACACAAAATGACAGCCTTCTTTATTGCCCAAAAAAGTAAGCTTGTATGTACTTCCCTTTGTTGCTTCCTAATATGGTAGGCTTTTCTTATTTTCATGGTCCACTACTTGCCGTCCTAAAGTGTTGGTCAACTCAACAGTTTTGTTGTTGTGCGGTACACGGCTTTGGGTTGAAACTGGGAGGTCCAAAACCACGAGACTCAGTGGACATGTGTTCAAAGTACCCGTGTTGTGAGCTTGGCGTGAATATCTCGCTGGTTTTGCTGATATTCTCCCCCCCCCCTTTCTTTCCCACACCTGCACACAGACACACACACACACAAACAAACAAACAAACAAACACACAAACACACCCACAAACACACCCACATACTGACAGAGAGAGAATACACACTCACAACACACACACACAAACAAACAAACAAACAAACAAACAAACACAAACATACACAGACATACACTTAATCACTCACTCACCTCTGGTTTGCCTTTGAATCGTTATTGTTCGCCTAACTGACCAACCAAGTGTCATGGCGGCAACTTGAACCACGTGACCTGCTTCTATAAGTATGGGTTCACCCGAATGTTCAGGTCCTTTCAAGTCGCGACATTTGACAGAGGCAAGCAGCCTTAAAATTTATGCGACTGTTTTTAGCAAACGACAGAACTCACAGAGCACAGCAAGCTTTCCCTATCTCTTGTGTGTTTTTGGTCAAGAGTTTTTAAAAGTGATTTTTTAAAGTGATTTTTTAAAAGTGCGTTCTCCTAATTGTGTTCAAAACCGCAGGGAGGAACCAAAATCTTGATTGTGAGTATAGGAATATTTGATTTTTAATGCTCACTTTATAAAAACGTTTCAGCTTCTACAATTTTCTTCCAAGATCGTGTGGGTATGTGGTGTGTTGGTTGCCTTCACCGTGGCGAGCAGAAGGGTCGAACCCCATCCCTCCACGTGATCTAAATTGTGTTGATGCAGGTGTATAGGTACAAATGTATTTGCTTAATTATAAGTGTTAAGCTCATTTTGTGTTTATATACGTGTAGGTCTTCATATTTTGTGCGTGCACGTTAACATATTATACGTGTGTATATAGATAAAATAATATGTATATACGTTTACTTGTATACACGAAGTGAACCATTTCATTTTGTTATATTATTAGTAACACTATTGGTGGCAAGATTTGCCATCTACTAAGAACTCTCGTTATTCCTGTTAAATGTATTTCTGTATGTAGTCTGAACACGTTTCCTAATTGTCTTGAAATCACGTTCTATATTTAGAGGATGTTTCGAGTTGGGTTTTGTTGTGGGTACTATCTGCGATGCACTCTTCTGTTCCAAGAAAAATACACAGGAATATTGTTCAAACTGCTTTTGAAATTTCAAACTCACCAACGTTGACGTACAATATCATAAAAATGAGTTGGTAGGGCCATAAAATTCCTACTCAATCAACGAATATCATAGAAGTGTGTAAAATGCAGATAAAATCCTTGTTAAATTTCGCACGGCGAAATTTGCATCACAATTAATCTGCAATAGTTCAGCAAAGGGTCGGCACTTACTGTGACAAGGTCCACAGAGCAAACTATACAAGAGTTAGGGTTATGGTTAGGTGTTAGGGTTAGGGTATACACCGCTCAAAATATCCCCTCTTTTGTGTGTTGTTGGTCAGCCGGCCCTCTACCGAACTCATTCCATCTCTCGTTCTGTGTACGGATGGTTGGAGAGTACAACTTTAAGTCCTGCTTGTATTTCCCTGTTTCTGTCTTGCTTCTGGTGTGGTTTGCTCCTTCTTTTCTATCAAAACATTTATTGTCTTGAGCTCTCCTCCTATTTTGTTTGTTACTCTCTTGTAACACCTAAACCAACGGCACTTATATGACCTTATTTATTGTGTAAAAAGTTGTTCGCGCATCCGATCCGGATATTGGTGATTGCCATGTTAGTGTGACAACTTCTTTGGCCTTCGGCATATTGTGATAAGGTGGCCAGTTCTTTCCACGCCACCTTTACTTCCCAAACTCGGAAGTCAGGTACCCATTACTGCTGGGTGTGAAGGTGGGGGCGGAAAAAATCCGTGTCGCAACCGAGGCTCGAACCCAGACTTTCTGCTCTATTTATGTAAGTGCAGTAAAACCGCAAAACTAAAACTACAAATTAAACAAATCTCGTTCTGTCCACAGACGTCCTGAGGCGTCGGTGGCTTAGTAGTTAGTCTGCCGGACCCGTAATCGTGAGTTTGCGGGTTCGGGGGTTCCAAGTGTCAGCTGTCCGACGCTGTGCCCTTGGGAAAGGCACTTTATACGGATTTCCCATTTGGCTCGTCCTTTCGGAGGAGGACATTAAACTCGAAGGTCCCACCTCTTAAATAACCTATTAGTGTTGATAACCTGTACCATTTCACCATTTTCACAAACGTTTCATAAGATTAAAAAAAAATAAAGTTATAGTTGTCGATGTCAATATAATATACACTGAAATTAATATTGTAAATATTTATGTAAATACGCATGTTAATACACCTTTTTTACATATTTACACAGATTTCACTACAAATGTCTGTTTAACATAGCAATAGATTTTCGGCTATAAAACTTGTTGCCACGTACATTACCAAAATTGAGTCAATAGTGCCGTAAATCAGTCAATCTGTCAAATCAGTCAATCTGTCAAATCAGTCAATCAATCTGTCAAATCAGTCAATCAATCTGTCAAATCAGTCAATCAATCTGTCAAATCAGTCAATTAATTTGTCAAATCAATCAATCAATCTGCCAAATCAATCAGTCAATATGTCAATTCAATCAATCAGTCAATCAGTCATTCAATCAATCAGTCAATCAATCAATTCAAGCAAGCAAGCAAGCAAGCAATCAAACAATCAATCAATCAATCAACCAATCAATCAATCAATCAGTCAATCAATCAACAGACGCCTCTATCATCATGAATCCCAATCTGTTACTGGACACTCGGAACATTCCCCTGGAGCTGAGAGTGTTCCCCGTCCTGCCCAAAGCCCGCCCCTCCCGCCAACAACAGGAGCTCTACATCGAGTTTGTGGACGTTGTGGCGAATGTAGCTGAACCGTTAAAAGTAAGTTGTTTTTTTTTTGGGGGGGGGGGGGGGGCAGAGAGGTATTTTTGTGTGATTGGTTTGTTTGCTTTATTCCGGGGGGTTGTGGGGGGGGGGGGGGGTAAGAATTCTAAGGCGCTCGCAACTGCATAAGATCATATGAGCGCGCTGGACACGCACATTAATAAGCATTTGCAGTTTGGTAGGAATTGATTTTGAATTTTGCCCGGATGGCGGCTGAAGCCTACTCTTATCGATTGTCTTGTCTTCGTGTGTCTTGTCTTCGTGTGTCTTGTCTTCGTGTGTCTTGTCTTCGTGTGTCTTGTCTTCGTGTGTCTTGTCTTCGTGTGTCTTGTCTTCGTGTGTCTTGTCTTCGTGTGTCTTGTCTTCGTGTGTCTTGTCTTCGTGTGTCTTGTCGTCGTGTGTCTTGTCGTGTGTCGTCGTGTGTCGTCTGGTCTGTCGTCGTGTGGTCTGTCGTCGTGTGGTCTCTCGTCGTGTGGTCTCTCGTCGTGTGGTCTCTCTTCGTGTCTCGTCAGTCGTGTCGCATTGTTACAACCTTGTCACTCTTTTCTCCCCCCAGCACGAGCACTTTATTGGTGCGAGCACGGACAAATGCCCGCTGTGTGGAGTCATGCCAGGAAAGATCATTGTGTTTGTGCTCACCCCTCTGATCGACCTGGAGGACTATTTCGCCACGTACAACGTTATGATGAACCCGCTGGTGGCTCAAATATTCTTCGAAAAGTAAGCTGACTTTGGTGCACCGTTAGCTAAGTTGGTATCATGCTGAACTAACTACGAAGCGGCGGACTCTGGTTTGATTTCCCCAACGAGCTGTTATTGAATTCGAGTTGTTTCGGGGGAATTTTTACGGCCTTCCATTAATCTGTCTCGGTCCTATCAGAGATTTGCGTGTGGAGTGGTTGGCGGGTGCCCTGGTGTGGTTTGCTTCTTTCCTATCAAACATCTATCATCCTGATCTCCCCTTCTTTTATTTGTTACTCTCTTGTAACACCTCTAATCTTCTGGCCTGCCTTCATTGGCAACTTCCTGAAGAACCGTTCCTTCCAGGTTCGCGTCGGATCCTCCCTTTCAGACCCACACCAACAGGAGGAAGGAGTCCCCCAGGGGAGCATCCTTTCTCCTCTCCTATTCAAAATTAAAATAAATTCCATAGTGAAAACTCTCCAAAACAGCATAGACAGCTCGTTATACGTTGACGACTTCTTGATATGCTGCCGATCGAAAAATCCTCATTTGAGATCTATGGAAAGGCAGCTGCAAACGCAGCTGCACAAACTTGAAACGTGGGCAAACAACGGTTTCAAGTTCTCCCCGTCAAAGACGGTTGCAGTACACTTCTGCCGAACAGGCAGACGTGTGCTGCAGCCGGATTTAACACTATACGGGGAAAGGATTCGACAAAAAACTCACATTCATACCACACATCAAAGACCTTCGTGTGAGGTGCCAGAAAGCGTTAAATGCTTTGAAAATTCTATCGAATCCGGAGTGGGGCGGGGACTCAAAACACCTTCTCCACCTGTACATCTCCCTTGTCCGGTCTAGGCTTGACTACGGCTGTCAAGTCTACGGATCGGCAAAACCACACGTCTTAAAAATACTAGATCCAATACAGAACCAAGGACTCCGCCTCGCTCTGGGGGCTTTCCGCACTTCTCCGGTGGAGAGCCTCCAGGCCGAGGCCAACATACCACCACTCTCACTCAGACGCACACAACTCTCACTACAATACGCAGTTAAACAGAGCTCAACACCGGAAAATCCAGCGCACAACAGCATTTTAAAAACAAATCCAGAAACCATAAACAAATTCCAAAACAACGAAAAACTCATCAAACCCCTCGGCCTCAGAATCCTTGAGGACCTCAAAAACTTAAACTTTTCCAAACAAGACATCCAACAAATTCTTTTCCCCGACCTCCCTCCGTGGCACCTCACCAAGGCAAAAGTAGACTTACAGCTGACCACACACAACAAAGAAAGCACAAACACCAAAACTTTTCAAACAGAATACAAAAAACTATAGATAAATACCCCTGTGCGGAGCTCATCTTCACAGATGGCTCCAAAAAAGACAATGAAGTGGGCGCCGCAGCCCTATCTTCCAACAGTACACACCAGAGGAGACTCCATCTTGAAGCCTCTATTTTCTCTGCGGAGGCCACTGCCATTGACATGGCACTGGACGCTGTAGAAAATTCTCCTAACAAATCTTTCCTTATCCTTTCTGACTCTCTGTCTTGCATCACCTCACTCACAAACTACACACTCTTACACCCAAAAATAGTTAGGCTACAACAGAAAATCCACACACTATCCGAAACAGGAAAAAACATCATGTTCGCATGGATACCCAGCCATGTGAGCATCCGAGGAAACGAGCAGGTAGACGACCTGGCGAAGAAAGCTTCATCCCTTCTGCTGGGATCAACGACAAACACTCTCCCACAGACTGACTTTAGAAATAAAGTCAAAAAGTACACCTCCAGTCTGTGGGAGAGCCACTGGGAAAACCAGAAAAATAATAAACTATATGAAATAAAACCCAAATTAAAACAGCGAAATCCTTCGGACCTCTCCAGAAGAGACGAAGTCATTTTTACTCGATTGCGCATCGGACACACGGCCCTGACCCACAAATACCTCCTACAGGGAGATGAGAAGCCGTTCTGTGTCGGATGCGGCACAGATTTTACCATTAGACACATTTTAACAGAATGTCTAGACTTTGGAGAGATCCGAAGGAAATATTATAAATGCAAGAAATTGCAGGATATTTTTTCCGTCGTTGTTCCCAGCAGAATTTTAAATTTTATAAAGGCTATTGGCCTTTATGGCGAGTTGTAGAGTGAACTTGATATTTAAGATTTTTATTGTTACTTAAAAGAGTTGTTTTAAATCACAAATGTATTTACACTGAATTTAAATATTTTAACTTTTTAGCATTTTAAAGTAAATTAGTTAACCAGTCGTGAAGTGAACTTTTGCAAAGGTGAACAACTTGTGTTTCGCGCGCTCATATGACCTTAGCAGTTGCGAGCACCGTAAAACCTTATACTATACATAATCTTCTGGCGCTCATATTATGACCTTATGCAGTTACGATCGCCGTAAAATCTGTACTAAACCATCTCCCCTTCTTTTTTATGTGTGTTACTCCCTTGTAACACATAATCTTCTGGCGCTCATATGACCTTATGCAGTTGCGAGCGCCGAAAAACCTCTACTAAAACTATTTTTTTTTAAACATCTATCGTCTTTATCTCCCCTCCTTTTCTGTTTGTTACTCTCTTGTAACACCTAATCTTCAGCACTTGTGACCTTATTGCGTTGCAAGTGCCGTAAAACTCTTGCTGAAACTAAGAGATGGGCGTTGAATTAGGAGTGTCAACTCAAATAAAGGTAGAGTTAAAAGGGGCGTTAAACCTACACGAAATATCCGTTAGCTCAAATGGTATTATCCTGGACTTCGGAGCGGATTGCCCTGGTTCGAATCTTTGACTGAATGCGCTTGAAAACCGGTCGTTTTGTTAAGTTTCAAGACTCTCGAACCATTTGGCTTAGTCCTATTGAGGAAGGACGTTACATTAGGAGAGGTTATAAGGAGCGTTAAACCTATACAATGAAATAACGTAAGTTACTTCCATCGCTGACATTATTTTTTATACCTCGGGTCGACTCTTTCAATAAAATAAAAAAATTGAGACCAGCGTTTGTGGTGTAGCAATTTGGTGCTTCGCTGCCGCACCCAGAAAACCCGAGTTTGATTCCCGATTGAGAATTTTTGAGATCTCGGTCTTTCTGCTGGGATGCTGTATCCCTCTCAGCCTTGCTTGGCACTGGCAGGCAGGATCGGAAGCCCACCTCCTTAATGACCTAAATTGTGTCAATGAGGTGTAAAGATATCTACATTCTAAATAAAAAGCTCGATAAATTCAAGGGAAGGGTTGAGGGTGGGGCTTTTTAACACTCCAGGCGTAGACAAAGCTATGATTATGATTGACACCATGCCAATTTGCATCAAATTTTTGTTTTGTAACAAACTTTTGTCTAATTAATCAATCGTCGTTTTCAGTCATATTCTAAGATACCGTACTGACGATGTCTGCGGTGTACTGATTCAGATAATAGTTTCGTCTATTGGTTGATTCTCCTTTTTCCAGCATCAGTGGCGTAGCGGATAGGCGCTTCGCCGTTGCATGCAGAACACCTGATTTAGATTCCCATGCGGATTTTTTTTAAATGGAGTGTATCAGTCTCTCTGCCTGGACGTTGTATCCCTCTCAGTCCGCTTTGGCCCTGGCAGGCAGAGCTAAAACCCCCGTCCTAGATCTTTAATGATCTAGATTCTGTTGATGATTGTGGCGTAAAATAAACCCACATTTAAAAAAAACTTTTAAAATATTCTTATAAGTCTGCCCTGTGTTCTCATCTCCAGGTTGTTGCAGGGTCTCATCGACAATAATGTGTGGGAGGTGAAGTCAGTACTGGATGAAGGTCGTGAACTATTGGAGCCCAGGCAGTGCGCTATGATCTTTAGCACTGTTCTCACCAGAGGTCACATCACAACGCGTCTCTTGCTGGACTACGGTCTGAAGCGGAAATTCCCAGGACTTGAAATGGGGTCAGTTGGTAGATTGGTAGTGATGAGATGTAGAAAGAAAATCGAATTGGTTAGCGTCAAGAGATCGCTGTAAACAACTGTTTGACTACACAACTTGATCATTGTCAATTTCACCCCTCCCCCCCCCCCCCCCCCCCCCCCCAATCCATCGAAAAAACACAAAAAACAATATGCCGAAGTAGACTTTTCCTGCACACACAAAACAAAAGGAAACAAGACGACCCCCCCCCCCCCCCCATAAGCAAAATGCAAAAACAAAAACGAAACAGAACCCATGCAAACAAAACCAACAAAATAAATTCATAAAACTATAAAACAGATTAACTCCAACTGTAATGAAAGATAATCAAGGTGAACCTTTCTTAACTGGCTTGCTGCGTGGGTCTAAACCTTACATATGACAGTGGATGATGTATCACGTCCTCTCATAAATTTGCTTTCAGGTGTGTACTCTAAGCTATACCTCCGGTCTGTGGGAGACTCATTGAAAAAAAAAAAAGAAAACAAATTATCCAACAAGCCCAAACTGGGTCCATGAAAACCTTCGGTCCTCTCCAGAAGAGACAGTCATTTTTACTCGATTAGGCATCGGGCACATGTTCCTGACACACAATAAATACCTCATTCAGGGACAAGAGAAGCCGTTTTGTGTAGAATGCGACACAGATTTTACCATTAGACACATTTTAATCGAATGTCTAGACTTCGGAGAGACCCGGAGGAAATATTTTAGATGCAAAAAATTGCAAGACCTGTTTTCCGTCGTTAATCCCAACACAATCCTTGATTTTATAAAGGCCGTTGACCTTTACGGAAAATTGTAAAGACATACATTTTTATTTTAAAGCGGATTACCATTTTAAAGACTATTTTACCTCAATTATTTTACTTTTAAAATCTGATCGTTGACTCGAACCAAGTCGTGCAGTGGCTGTTGTGAAAGAGATCGACTTGTGTTTCGCGCGCTCATCTATGACTTTATGCTGTTGCGAACGCCGTAAAACTCTCACTAAAACAAAACAGGGTGTGTACTCTACCTTATCGCCTTTTTCGTAATGATCAGTGTAATACATATATAGTATACATATCTTTGCCCTTATTCAAAATTGTACGTCGGAACTAAACATTTGTTAAAAATGTTATGCAGCTCGTCTGTTTGCATTTTTATTATACATGTATTTGTATTTGTATACGCTATTGTAAAACAAGTTTCCCAAGGTGGTGAATAAAAATGTCCATCCATCCATCGATTTGTCTACCCATCCATCCATCCATCGATTTGTCCATCCATCCATCCATCGATTTGTCCATCCATCCATCCATCCATCGATTTGTCCATCCATCCATCCATCGATTTGTCCATCCATCCATTCATCCATCGATTTGTCCATCCATCCATTCATCCATTCATCCATTCATCCATTCATCCATCCATTCATCCATCCATCCATCGATTTATTTATCATTTATCTATTCATCTGTCTCTTACCTCTCCAGATTGCAGGCGATTATATTCTTCACTATCCTCGGTACAGAGAAAAGCAAAAGGAGCAAAGAGCTCATCATAAATCTGCTGCACGAGTACGACATACTGAGACAGTCCGACAAAGAGGAGCTCAGCCACACACTCCAGAGGTTCCAGCACATCATGATACCGAACTACCCGCAGGAGGAGGTGATGGAAACGTGCCAGAAGGCTCTGGACACGCTGAGCCAGCCCAAGTCTCTGTTGTCCATGAGCCTCCGAGTCGTGGCTGAGAAACTGGGCCCGATGCCTGGCAGGAGGAAGAAAGTGAAGGATCTGAGACTGCCCAGAAACATCGAGACGAATCTGTTGTGGGCGGACATTGCTAGACTTAACCCCATGGACGTGGACAGTGGAGAACCTCTGTACGTAGAGGACGACCTGGACATGGAAGACATTGAACAGATCCGGGAGGCGAGGAATCGAGTGCCCGGAGCCGCCAATTCTAAACCCGAACTCGATTACGTAATGATTGACGAAAGTGACCACGATTCTGATTATTCTGATTATTCTGACGACGCTGTCGAAGACATTGATATCGCCCATTAGATTGTGGACAGCGTGTGTGTTCTGTGTGTTCTGTCCAAATTTTAAAGTTTTATTTGTATAAAGTTGTGTTTATCTCCACAAGGCCATTTTTTGCGCGATCGAATGTCGAGACAAGACGTCAGTTTTGCGTTTTGCAAACCGAACATTTGACCTGTCACGCAAAAGATGCCTGCCTATGTTTTTTTAATCAGTTTGTTTTTTAATCAGTTTCTACGTCTGTTTTGTAACTTTGTCACTTCAAATTTTAGCTTCTTCTTTTTTAAACATTTTTTACCTTTTACAGAGCTAAAGGACAGACTTCAAGGCCTCAGGAGCATAGTGACCTTACAGTGATCACAACCGGGTTGATATTGATTTTCCCAAAAACCTTTAGACATTTTGAAATTCTGGAGACTCTGTTTTGTCAATTTGCCTCTCAATGCACAAGTCTTTTGACGTAGTTCTGACAAAAGTACGGAAATAAGTAGGAGGCATTTCCAATAACTCAATTTCTTGGAGTCACTTCAAACTGGTCCATGCTGAGACATACGATAATACGTATCTATTTCCTTTTTTTAAAACTGCCTCATCACAAGTGTCTTTCATTTTGACTTTTGGGTTCTTGAACTTAGTGTTGTGAGTTTTGTGGGGTGTGGCGTGTGATTTGTGGTCTGTGTTCGTTTTTTGGTGTGTTTGTGTGTGGGGTGTTGGGTGTGTTTTATTTTGTGGTGTTTTTGGCGTCTGGTGGGAGTGGGATTTTTAGTGTCTGGGTGTGTTATTGGCGTCTGGTTTGTGGTGTGTGTGGGTTTTTTTGGTGTCTGTTTTTTTGGTGTCTGTTTTTTAAGTGCCTGTTTTTTGGTGCCTGTTTTTTTTTTTAGGGGTGCCTGTTTTTTTGTGGTGTCTGGTTTGTGGTGTGTGTGTTTTGGTGTCCCGTTGTTATTCTGATGTGGGTTTTTTTGTGTTGTGTGGTCTTGTGTGGTTTATGTGTTGGGTGGGGTTTGTTTGGGGGGGGGGGGATTGGGGGGGGGGGGTGTTGAAAGCCCATTACAGCGATGTGTAGATGACAGTCTTGTTTCTGTCAGCTGTTTAACATGTATACAAAGTTGTATTGATTTAGTCTAAATTGTGTTAAAAGCTGTTAACCATCTGCTGAATCAAGTTTTGATACTTTCATGATGTGAAATTTAACCATGTTATTTTTTAATCTTCCAGGAATTGTTTTTTTTTTTTGTGTGTGCAGGAAAGTCTACTTCGAATATGGGTAAAGTAAAAGCAATACAAAGATTTTTAGAAGGCGAATATATCATATGATGAAATATTTTTTTTGCTTACCCTTACTTTATTTCTATTAAAATTATCAAAATTTTTCGTGCCCAGTAAAAGCAAGTTATCATGGTCTTAAATTCCCCAGTAGAGATTTGCTCCGCGAAGTATTGTACAGTTTCATATTTTATTATATAATTATGCGTAGCGAATGTCTTTTCACTTCCTGACACAGTCTTTCAGAAAAAAAGTTATGCTATGTTCACACGAAATGCTACTAAATTATGTAACCAAAATGTTCAGCAGCATGTATGACTTCGTGTGAAAATCAAATTTTACTTTTTAAAATGAGTCATTGCCCGACTTGCAACATCAACACCTGGAATCGTATTTCTCCTCAACCAAAATTTATATGTGAAACTGTTTTGTGAAATTGTCAATGTTTACTGTTTTAATAATAAGGAAATATGCAGTAATCTTTTCAAAGAAATTCCATATGTACAACTGGGATGCCATCGAGCAACTTGGAGGGAAAGTTAACGTCCCCGAATAAACGATATTTTGTTTTTAGACTCCAGATGAAAAGGGAGAGCAATCGAGGTTGTCTATTTTTATTTGCCTTCGTATTTCATAATTTTGTCCATTATGCTACTTCAAAAAGTGTCTTAGTTCATTCTGCAAACTTTTCACTTAAACAGCCGCTCGAGAAAAGAACTGTCAGCAATTTATAAAAGACCCCTGAAAGAAACTTGTCGGCAACCATTTTCTGTAACTTCTTCCCTTTTCCCACAATTTTCTTTGCAATTAGTAATTTGTAACATTGTGAGAAAAGGCCTACCACGTCTCAATGTAAGCTATTACCATCAATACAGTAAATTAATTTAGGTTCGCCATTTTAATTGCATCTTTATCACCAGTGTTTTTGTTGCTTGCCGTCTGCTTTGTTTTCTATCCGATTCGATGACATACCACCCAAACTTTTTCTGGGGCATTTTCCCGTGTATGTCTACAACATACAAGCTGATAACTTGTTTATTATTTAATCTACAAGATGTGCATTCAAGACCCACCCCCCACCCTCACCCCCACCCCACCCCACTCCTCAACCTGCTGCAATGTACAGTGTAAATAGAAATATACATATATATATATATATATATATATATATATATATATATATATGTCTCCGCCATATAAATATAATATAATCTACTATCTGTCATATAAATATAATATAATCTACTGTCATATAAATATAATATAATCTGCTGTCATATAAATATAATATAATCTACTGTCTCTGCTATATAAATGTATTTATAATCTACTGTCTCTGTCATATACATATAATATAATATACTGTCTCTGTCATATACATATAATATAATATACTGTCTCTGTCATATACATATAATATAATCTACCCTCTCTGCGTAATACATATAATAATAATCTACCCTCTCTGCGTAATACATATAATATAACCTACCCTCTCTGCGTAATACATATAATATAACCTTACCCTCTCTGCGTAATACATATAATATAACCTACCCTCTCTGCGTAATACATATAATATAGCCTACCCTCTCTGCGTAATACATATAATATAACCTACCCTCTCTGCGTAATACATATAATATAATCTACCCTCTCTGCGTAATACATATAATATAATCTACCCTCTCTGCGTAATACATATAATATAATCTACCCTCTCTGCGTAATACATATAATATAATCTACCCTCTCTGCGTAATACATATAATATAATCTACCCTCTCTGCGTAATACATATAATATAATCTACCCTCTCTGCGTAATACATATAATATAATCTACTGTGTCGTATATTTATGAAACATTACAGCAGAAGAGTATGTGGGTGCAAGTGCACAGTTGGTGGGGTCCACTGATGTTTTGCTTTTTAAAAAAATCATTGTCAACAACCTGTGTCTGGTTGTGAAGTGTTGCTGTTTGGTCCTAATTCTTGTCTCTCCCCTTGTTGTTTCTGTCCAGCCGCTCTTTCCCAGCACGAAATTACCTTTACCTTTGCCGTGCCAACTTATTTCGAATTTTTCCAACTGTGCCATACGTTACTGACATTCTATGAGTTCATTATGCTTTTAAAGAATGTTTACTTTGGTATGAATGTACGTATGGTCTTAATAAATCGTATTTAATTCCTTTGAAAAGGATTTGAGTTGTGAATTGTCTTTCATGCGATTAATTTTTATTCTAGAAATGTTTTAAAATGAATTGGGGATGCGACATGACAATGTCCTGGGGTGGCTTTTGCATTATTTTTTGTTTTGTTTTGTAGGTGGCTGTTTCCTTTACTAAATAGAATTTTCTAAAGTTGAAAGGTCTGTGTCAGCAGCTCTTGAGCTTACTGAAGCTTTTTTCCTTTTTATTTCTGATACTGAATATACATTTAAACTTCGTAAATAAATGTCCCTCTCCTTTTTGGACAGTATCTTGTAGTGCAATGGTTTCCATCTGCCAAACTGAAATTCGGGGCTCGTATACTTAAAAATTAGAACTTTTTTTGTCTTCCACAAGTATAGATCTAGCTTCCTCTCGGTCCTGTCTCAAAATTCAAATACCAAGCCTACTTACATAGTTTCTTGCTGGGCGCTAAGCTTAAAATAACAGTGAACACTCTACTTTCCATGCAGTCAGTGGCATGAATTCCACCTGACCGGGATTTTAAAAACACTCGCATTTTGAAGGGGGAGACGGGGCAAGAGGAAGTGTGATGGATTTGGCGGGTAGTACAAGAATTTTGTGCACGTTCGGACAAAGAAGGGGGAACTGCTTAAGACACAGTGGGTCCTATTTCAGTGGATTCTATATTGCAGTGGATCTTGTTTCAGTTTCACTTTCGAGTGCTGACCTTGGCCTTGGCGAACCCGCCATACATCACCTGGGAGAACGAAAAACGGCTCTTGGTATCAATATCAGCGTTACACTACGTCACGTTTCCGTGAGACGCCGTGCGCTATCGATATGGAGATGAGTTCGGCTTTCCGTTAAGCCGAACAGAAGACGATTGTTATTTTAATAAAATATATTTACAAGCAATGGGAGGAGGTTGGCGATGAGCTGGGCATAGGTGTGTACTGATATATTTATCAAAGGAGCCTCTCTCTCCTCTCTCTCTCTCTCTCTCTCTCTCTCTCTCTCTCTCTCATTCTCTCTCTCTCATTCTCTCCTTTTCTCTCTTTCTCTCTTTCCTGTATTTTCAGAACAAACGTAGACACCATAAACAAATTAAAAAACAATGGAAAAACTCATTAAACCCTCGGCCTGAGTCCTTGAGAACCTCAAAAACGTACACTTCTCCAAACAAGATCCAACAATTTCTTTCCCCCGACCTCCCTCCGTGGCAACTCATGAAGGCAAAAGTAGACTTACAGCTGACCACACAAAACAAAACATGCACACACACACCAAAACTTTTAAAGCAGAGTACCAAAAAAACAACAACCTAAAAGTAGAAAAATACCCCGGTACGGAGCTAATCTTCACAGTTCAGATGGCGCCAAATTGGACTCTACTGTGGGCGCGGCAGCCCTATCTTCAAACAGTACACACCAGAGGAGACTCCATCCCGAAGCTTCCATTTTCTCTGCAGAGGCCACTGAAAATTCTCCAAACAAATACTTCCTTATCCTTTCTGACTCTGTCTTGTACCACCTCACTTACAAACGACACCCTTCTACACACAAAAATAGTTAGGTTACAGCAAAAAATACACTCCTTGACTGAAGCAGGGAAAAGTATCGTGTTCGCATGGCTACCTAGCCATGTGGACATCCGAGGAAACAAGCAGGTAGATTTCCTGGCAAAGGAGTCCTTATCCGTTCTGATGGGATCAACGACGCTCTCCCACAGACTGACTTGAAAACTAAAGTAAAAAAACTACACCTCCAGTCTGTGGGAGACTCATAGTAGGAATCAAACCAACAACAAACTCTACAACATTAAGCCCGAACTGGATCTGCGAAAACCTTCACCCCCGGGGCGGTGCCACTGACTGAAGTGTCCTTAGGCCATTCCCAAAGGGAGGACATTTCTCTTTCTGGTGCACTGTAGAATTGTAAATGGGCTGATCTAACAATGTCCTGCTCATAACGGTGCATGAACTACAACAGGGAATTGCTGCCTTTTCTTTCCTAATCCTTACTATCATTTTCCTCTACTTCTTTTGTATGCTTGTCACACTCTCGTGACCCGCTATTTTCGGGGTGCCTTGATAGTCGAAGCAGACTTTGTGCTGCTGAAGCTAGAGAGGTGAGCAGAGTAAGTCCGATTCCCTCTAAGGACTTCTCTGTTGTCATCCACCCCTTGG